TTCTCACCTACATCGTCCACAAGGGACGACTCGGGAACTCAACTCCTACCTCGGGCAGCTCACCTTTCCCCCTATGCCCAGGGGAAAGGTATCAAGCCGTTTGACAGCTGATGCAGGCTGTCAAACCGGCTTTTACGCGGAAACAGGCGGGAGCAGCAAACAGCTGCGTCCAGCGAAGGAGCCTGCCACCGGAAGTCCGGTTTTTCTATACTTCTGAGTCCAGGCCATTCTCTCATCACTACCATTTTTTCCAGAATGGCAAAAGCCACATTGCAGCATTGCACAGCAAGCTCCACCCCTTTGTGACATCTAGAAAGAGGGTGGAGCTTACGCTGCAATGTGTCAAAGGGTCAGCCCTTCCACGCAAAGCTGCTTACACACACCTGCTGTCAATGCTCCTGTGCTTGCGCGCGCGCACCAAACACTGCTGCCTAGCTGATCAGTTTGTGAAAGGTTGGATGGTTTCCGTCATTTCAGAGAAGATAAAACGAAGGAATTATTGGATTTTAATTGTTGATTTTATTTCATTGCTGTGTTGCCCAGGGTCACCTCTTGTAAGATGGGCAGCTATACAGATTTGACAGGAAGGTAGGTTGATAGATAAGAGCCAGCCTGGTATATTTATTAGAGCAGCGTTTCTCAATTTAATCAGCTTTACGATGTTGTACTTCCAACTCTCAGAATTCCCCAGCCGGCACCATTCTGGGAGTTGAAGTCCTTAAATTGATAAGGTGGAGAAATATTGTATTAGAGCAGGGGTCCCCAACCCCCCCGTCAGCAGCCCTCCGGCAGGCCACAGAAGTGCACGTGTGCCATTTTCATATTTGGTGGACATGTAGGGAAGTTAAAGCATTTTGGATTAAGATATGGTGGAATACTCAAAATATTTTTAAGAAAAAGATAAAGTTTAAGCTGCAGATATTTTTGTTGGGTATTATGGAAGACTTGGATGCAAAAGAAACTGAATTGATGTTGAATTTTATAACTGCTGCAAGACTGTTAGTAGCTCAATATTGGAAAACGGAACGTTTACCTACGATAGAAGAATGGTCACTTAAAGTCTCGAATTTAGCAGAAATGGCCAAGATTTCCGCTTATGTGAAGGATCATTCACAAGAAAGATATATTTTGGTTTGGAGAAGATGGATAGATTATATTGAGTGTAAATATGGGACTAAAAAATATTATTTGGTTTTTGAGTAAATTTTGGAGTATTATGGTTGTATAAAGGTTAGAATATTTTATTTAGTATTATTCTTAATTATTATAGTGTTATTATTGTTTTTAATAATTGTATTGTTTAAAAGAGAGTTAAAGGAGGTTATAGATACGTTATTTTACTAGTTGATTAATGTTAATTAGATTATGATTATGTTATTGTTAACCCTGTGATTGGCACTGGGAAGTGAGGGGGAGGGAGGGGGGTGGAAGGGTGGGAAGGGGAAGGGGGGGATTTATATTGTAAAATTTTATAACATTTTTAATTTTTTTTTAAAAAAAGAAGTGCACGTGTGCCCAAAGCTGAATTTGTGAAAGCAGTGTGTGCGCACACGCACCATGAAAACGTCCTTTCTCCCCTCCCCCGCTGACGCCTCCACCAGCCCATCATGCCGGAAAAGTTGGAGACTGCTGTATTTAGAGCAGGGGTAGGCCACCTTGGCTCTTTTATGACTCGTGGACTTCAACTCCCAGAATTCCTGAGCCAGCCAGGCTGAGGGGAAAGGCAGAGGTTTCCAAGCTGAGCCAGGCTGGCTCAGGAATTCTGGGAGTTGAAGTCCACGAGTCATAAAAGAGCCAAGGTTGCCTACCCCCTGGTTTAGGCCCTAATATTTGTTTTTTCCCCCAACGTCGCAATCACGGTTGTGTTGCCTTCTTTCTCTTTCAGCTAAGGAGACCTCTGGCAGACATTAACTCCTCCACGCCAATGCAGGAATCATCGGGCAGAGTGAAGATCCTACACTGGATGGAAGCCAGCCCAGAAGGTGACTTCTTGGGAAAGGCCTATCAGGGGCCGGGTTTAGGTATGTTCCAGAATTCTGGTGGGGCTTCTGATTTATGAACAGTGTCGTTGAACCTCTGGCCTCGTCCTCACCTTCCTTAGAACACACAAGCCTCAGAACCACATTGTTATTATTATTGGTGGGTGGCTAATCTTTGTTGCTCTTATCTGTACTCTTTCTAGACTCTAGACTCTCAACATATATTATAACATTACAAATACTTATATACTATCCCTACAATGAACTTGTAACTCCTGTTGCTTCATCCAGCTTCCCTTTCTCCTGTGGATCTTCTTTATGGATCAGCGGTTCTCAACCTATGGGTCGCGACCCCATTTGGGGTCGATCGGCCATTTCACGGGGGTCGCCAAGCAAGGCTGTCCGTCATTTTTTTCCCCTTTTCTGGCAGGTGCCTTACCTCCCTTGGGCTGGGCCAGCTGGTGGTCGGCCTGTTCCGTCTCTGCCGCTTGCCAGCTACGCCTCGGCCGGCGCAGGGGGCGGAACCACGCATGCGTGGCGCTCCCGGGCAGGGAAAGTCCTCGACTTACGACCGGTTGGGTAGTCCTTGACTTACAACCGGTTTAGTCCTCGTCTTACGACCGGTTTAGTCCTTGACTTACGACCGGTTGGGGGGTCGCGGCATTAAAAAGGTTGAGAACCACTGTTATGGATGATTCCGTGCTCCCTTAATTTCTCCATCGCCTCTTCCTTTTTTTTTTTTTTTTTTCAAAAATTTTTTTTTT